AACAGACACTAATATTAGCCAAACGGTAGTTGAAAGTAGGTAGCTAAACACGTGTAAAGGCTAAAAATCTTTAAAACCTGGTAAATACAGCAGAGCTGTAGCTAAAATTAGCAAATTGGTCAATTAAAAATAGAAAAACATGTTAAAAATGAGCAAAACGGTAGCAAAAAGTAGCTAAACTGTTGCTGAAGCTGAAGTTTGCAAAACCGACACCAATATTGGCAGAATTGTAGTTGAAAGTAATGCTAAGGTTAAAATTCCCTAAAGTAGCTAAATGTAGCATAGCTGTAGCTAAAAGTAGCAAAGGACAAAAATTATATTGAATATATAAAAACTTTGGTTCTAAAATAACTGAAAATGTCTAATTGTATTTCAGTGTGGACTTCCATTAAAAATGTTCAAAATATTCAAGAATATAAAATAAAATAAAGTCACAACATACTATTTCAAATCAAGCTGAACATTTTGCTCTATGAACATTAAAACAGTACAAAGTATGCAGTAGTTTAGTTGTAACAAACCTATAAATACAACTGTAAACAGAAAAGCTGACTTAGTGTTCACACATTGTTTTATGATTGTGCGGATTTACTTTAATCTCATTGTGTTTTTGTTTGTTTTTTGCACGTCAGGAGTGAAGCCACAGTCCCGGTGTACCCTGCTGATGTGGTGCTGTTTGAGGGTATTCTAATGTTCTACTGTCTGGAGATTCGAGACCTTTTCCAAATGAAACTGTTTGTGGACACGGATGCTGACACCCGGCTGTCACGTCGAGGTGCCTTTATCATAATTCTTTTATTTATTTAATATAAATACCACCCAGGTTTTCTTATTTCTTCCACACAGGTAGTTCCTCTTCACTTCAAGCTCAGGTCCTCTACCAGAGGCCTGGGAGTTTGAGGGTTCTGTTCAGGATCTTAGCTGTTCAGAGGATTGTGCTCTTCTGGACTTTAACTCTCCACAACGTCTGTAGTACCTCTTTCAGTCCTTGGTATTTTCTCGAGCTTCTCATGATGTTACACTCACTTGGGATTGCATCTATCACCACAGCCTTCTTTTGTAGATTGTAGACCACCACCATGTCTGGTTAGTTAGCACCACCTGTTTGTCAGTCTGCTTCTGGAAGTCCTACAGGACCTTAGCTCTTCCATTGTCCATCAGCCTTGGTAATACTCTCACTTTGACTCTGGGACCTCCAGTCCATATTCAGCTTTTCCTGCCTGGGTCTTACACCCTGCTGTTATGTGTTGGACTGTCTCAGGGCCATCTTAGGTCTTGTCTGGCATGGTGGACCCTGGCCTGTTCTTACTGCCAGGATTAGAGTCTCTGCTGTCCTTCGGTCCAGCTCTCTCCAACCATTCTGCTGGCTCTTCAGGGCCTGCTTTACTCTCTGTAGGTACTTCGTTGTGGCTGACTTCTCTGCTTCCTCATCATAATTGCAATTTACCTGTGTTGAGTTTAAAATATTTGTAGTTGTCCTGTCCTTCATGTTACCCTGATTTATCCAGTAAGAACAATTCTTGTGTTTGGGAACATTTTCCTGTTGAATGACCCAGCTGTGTCCAAGTTTCAATCATCTAGCTGTTTGATCTGAGGTGAAGCTGTAGAATTCTGAGGTATACTTCAGCAGCAGCACAGCATGACGCTACCACCACCATGCATGATACTTGGTTCAAGGTTCTCAAGCTTTAAAGGGATCCCCGATTAGTTGAAACATTAGACTTTATTTGATAAACATATTTTAACTATAAAATAAAGACTGTAAAAATACTGTAGGATGGTCAGTTTTTATCATTTTTAAACTAAAAGTTTAAAAATATATTGCATGGATGGGGCCATTTTATTTACACGCAAAGCATTCTGGGTAAATGATGACGTGGATAGGTCATCGTGCGAGGCTGCTAGCGAGCTATATCC